TGGCCCTGGGGCTCCTGCTGCTGCCTGGTGGGTCCCCGGCACTCTGCCCACAGCCAGCCCGTCTCCAGCCACCCCTGCACCCTCTGCCCTGCCTGCAGCCAGCCCCTGCCGCACCACCTGCCCTGCCCGCAGCCAGCCCCTGCCAGACCCCCTGCCCTGTCTCCAGCCAATCCCTGCCACACGCACCCCCTGCCTGCAGCCAGCCCCTGCCACACACACCCCCTGCCCGAAGCCAGCCCCTGCCGCACCCCCTGCCCTGTCTGCAGCCAGCAGAGGGACTTTTACCAGGACTGTGCAGTACAACCACATACAAAATTAAAGCCATTTTCCAACCCAACTATCTCCCTTAGGTCACAGTACAGTTCCTCTTCAAGGGGCCCCTCAATAACTGTCCCTAACAGCTCTGAAATCAAATTCATTCTAATGTCACATTAAGTCAGCCCCTGCCTCTGCCCCGCCTGCAGCCAGCCCCTACATCTAGTCAGCCCCTGCCCTGCCTACAGCCAGCCCTGCATCCCCTGCCCTGCCCGCAGCCAGCCCCGCATCCCCTGCCTCCAGCTAGCCCTGCCCCACGCTCCTGTCTCCAGCTGGCCCCACGTCCACTGGTGCCCTGCAGTTCCCAGGGCAGTAACCCTGAACACCTGCTTCAATGAGGGGGGCAGGGAGCAGCTGGGACCCACACATGTGCACACCATAGGGTGACCAGACAGCAAGTGTGAAAAATCAGGACGGGGGTGGGGAGTAAGAGGAGCCTATATAAGAAAAAGACCCCAAAATCGGGACTGTCCCTATAAAATCGGGACATCTGGTCACCCTAGCACACCCCCAGGGAGTGGCGGGGACGGAATGAAACACATGAAACGGAGCTCATTTCTAGTTCAGGCCCATCTTTTTAAAAAAGAACTTTAGGTAGGGTTAACATACACCCATATTTTCCCAGACAGGTCAGGCTTTTTGGTTCTTAAATCGCTGTCCGGGAGGAATTTTTAAATTTTAAAAATTTCTCCCGGGAAAATACGGATGTATGGTAACCCTAGTGGTACAAAAAATACATACTGTGGCACATGCCTTAAATCAGAACTTTTTATAGGGAACCAGTTGTTAAGATTTTGGCAGCTCATCACTGGGTATATGGGTTTTGGCAGTTCAGTCCCATGTTTCAATTTGTATTGTACATTAGATCACCCTTCCAACCCAGATTAAGATAATTTCCCTTTCCAGGTAATACACATCAATAAATCAAGATAGATTGCTTTGGGAATGACAAATTATGACACAACATTGGTTAGCCTATCTCCAAATATGTGAATATCACTCAGTAGTCTTGCCACGTTGCCTTGCCCCCTCTAAGATTTGAATACTTGGGCCCCAATGCTGCAAACACATATGGAAGGAACTCATGGGTTCCATAGTCCAGGCTCCTGTCTGAGCCCAGATATTTACACTGCAATTTTATAGCCCTGCAGGCTGAGCCCCTCAACCCCAAATCAGTTGACACAGGCCAGCCACAAGTGTTTTACTGTATTGTGGACATGTCCTAAGTGATTATATTCTGCCCTGTCATTTGTGTGCAGGTAATTTTTGCTAGTTACATGTAAATAGAAGATTAATATAATCTGTGCACTTATGGGATAATATACTCTTCAACCTCTCGAGTATAGCTAGCAATCACAATATGTGATCAACAATGTTTCTAGAAGGTACAATCTACAAGCAGCTTTTCAAGCCCATGTCTCTTACTGACTCCTGTGCTACATGCTACAAACATTAATTTAAAAAACCTCTTCAAAGTACTTTTTGCTATCAACCAGACACATATAATATCTACCGTGCAAAAAAGATGGAAACACATACAACACATGGCGTCATAAGTGAACTGCAAACACAATTGCCGATCTTATTTCTTCCTTCTCATTACGAGACAAAGACTCCATTTTCATACAGCAGTGAAACTACCTGTGGGCTGATAAGTCTGACTTACAAAAGCAGACCTTGGCACAGGAAACTACATGTTACCATGGAGATTGCATTTGTGGAGTTTGATTTAATAAGAGCCATTATCTGTGGAAAACACAATCTGCTGAAGACTTCCTAGCTGTAACAAGAAAAAACATTCTCAAAAAAATGGCAGGTCTGTCAGTTTTCGAAGCACTTAATAAATTAGCAGCACTCAAAAATTCTATGTACTCAATAAAACCTTTGCATAACAACAGGATTTCTAAAGAAGTGTATAGAGGCATAGGGTTTATTCATTTTATCCAATGTGGTATAGAAATCAGAAGAGGGGATTGGGAATCACAGTTCCTAAGTTTTTTTTCCCCCACTCTGCCACCGTGACTTGTTGTTACTTTGGCCTTGAGCTCATTATATAACTTCTCTCTACCTTGATTTACACATCTGTATCATATAGATATCCATACATACCTCTCTCAAATATTAATAAATTATGTCTGATAGATTCCACAGTTTGGAAAGTGCTTTCCAAAAGGCACAATCTCTGCTCTGAAGAGTTTACAATCTAAAAATATTGCAGCGTTTAGTTATCTGTAAAGCTTTTTGAAATCATTAAATGGAATACCAGTACTAATATTACTGCTGTGGAATTCACTCTACATTCTCATTGCACTGCTTGATGCCAAGCCTCCAGAGATTAATTAGCCCACTGTCTCCAACAAGTTGAACTATCCCCGTTAACTCTTACGCCTAGTTATGAGAAAATAGATGTTGACATTATTAACTACTTCAATGCTTATCATCTTTGCAGAAACATTTATCTGCTTTGAAATTAAGAAAAGACCTGGAGTAGGGGAAACTCCCATTTTCCCACATTTACCCACACATTCAATTTGAACCCCACGTACATCAACATATAACTGGTACCATATTCTTATCCACCCTTTACCTTCAGGGGTATTCAAACTTTTCAAAGCTCTTTCACCCATCTTTAACTATCAGTTTTTCTTAATACTTCATCTCATTTTTTTTAGATTTCCCTAAACATTTGTTGAAGTCTGACACTTTTCTCTTTAGGCACTTCACAATGGGTATTCTATTTTTTTCTTGTAACTATCACACTGTACATAAAGAGGCTTATCAATCTGATTTAGTCAATTTGCTTAGTCTCTGTAGCCCAGTACATACTGTCCTTTGTCTGATGACTGCCTGGAATGTTTTATTCTGCACATACTTCACATCTGCTACTCAGCTTTATATAGTCTTGGACAAGATCAGTCATAATCATCTTCAGCACAGTGGTATACTTTGTACAACTTACAGCATCTGCCTTGGAGCCAGTTGACCTATGACCCTCATATTTGCACCTAAATTCAGCTCATGAGCCTGGGTTTTATCTCCTTCACTGGTCTCTAAAATACACATCACCAATTCTTACAGGCCAGATCCTCAACCTGTGTAAACACAGCAGTTTACACAAGCGGAGGGTATAACCCCACCCTTTTTTTTTTTTTTTTGCTTGAAATTGATTACTACTGTATATTTGAAAGGCCTCAGATTTTATGTACTGTATGTCATCATTATTGACAAAAAACAGCCACTTGTTTAGTAGCGCTTATAAAAAAACAAGTAGTTGTGTTGCCCTTGGCTCTGAAATAGCAGTTAACTAATAACATTTATTCCCAGAGGTGTGCTGACACCAATTAGTAAAGTTAATGCACAAAGATGTTTTGGCACAAGGCTCCATATAAGATGAAACTAAACACACATGAGCTCCACATGTTAAATTCAGTTCAATTTAAAACATTAGGGGAAGGGAGGGGAAATCAATATTTGTCCAATAGAAAAAACCCAAACAGTGGAGAAAAATAAATTTTAAACTTTATTCTAAACACTAGGCTTTGTACTGTAACTATTCTATTTAGGGAAGTCCCATTTAAAAAAAAAACAATGAGAGTTCTAAGTACCACTTTATTGCAAAAATCAAGCTCCAATATTATTAGGAAGGTAGAATATTACAAACTGTGTAAAGAAAGAACCAAAATTTAGAAGCTATAAAAAGTTACCTGCTGGAAGCTTTCCAACTCTCTAACCTTGCTAACATAATATCGCAACAATTTGCCTCTTATTTTACTCATTCCATTGCCTCTTGGTTAAATGCTTTCTAGTTATTTATAGCTCTCTATAGACTCTCTCCATAGAATCCAACAGATTTTCTGGGCCCACATACTTTACTACATGACCTCCATTCTTAAAGAGCTAGTCTTTTACCTGGTCTTTCAAACTGACCGATATCCCATGAACATCTACAATTCTTGGTTTCCTTTGAACCAAAACTCTCTTCAGAAATAGGTACATAATCCAACATCTCAGTGTGTTGAAAACTCCCTTCAAAATACATTTCATATTTTCTATTAGTTGATATCACAATATGCTGTTCTTCAGGAGGCTGCATTTTAGTGGTGGGTGAAGTGATCCCTGTAGATCTAAGGCCTGATTCTCATCATACTTCCATCCGTGTAAGACAGGAGTAACTATTAACTAGTGGGATTTCATTGATGTAAAACAAACATAAACAAGATCAAAATTAAGTCTGTGGTCTCTCATGGACCTTGGAATAGAAAACTATGTACAAATTTATATCTGTATGTTTTAGCTTTTCCATATGTCACTCAGAGATCATAAAAAGGACATATGTAAAAAAATTCTATTTTAAAAAAATTGTATTGCCAGTGTGTTTGCTACCAGAAGTTAGCTCTAGCTTATGCATGTCTCCCACACAGTGTAGCTCCTCCAAATTATTAATTATTATCTGACTTTTTAAAGGGAAATCATTGCAGAGGGCGCTTATGGTATTTACATCAATATTCAAAAGCTTTTTACACTTTCAGTAAAAATGTATATTTAAAGCACACTGTGTGGGTTAAATACATTCATTTTAACAAACTTTTTGTAATTTTGGATGTTACTATATACTTTAGATCAGTTTACAATGTAAGGAGGTATCTTTAGAAGGAAGACAAAGTGTAATTTAATCCTTGTGTAGACAGCCTCTTCAGAGTCTCCCATCTTCCTGTATTTTCTCGGAGGAAACTAGCAAGTAAAACTGGATGACATCATCATATACAAGATCTATAGGAGAGAAAAAAAAGATACTATATTACTTGAATACTTTTACCTTTCATACTCACAATCCCATTATCTAATTATGATCTGTATTATTTATCTGTATGATCAATACTCTGCCTCATACATATATGCCCACACAGCATTCTTACAATACAGCTAGTGCACAATCCTCACATCAAATGAAAAAGGAATACAAGTCAAGGAATTGTAACCTTACCTGCCTCAGTTTATAATCTTTCAGGCCCAGTTGGGGGGAAGGGGAGAGGAGGGAAATCATTAATTCCCTCTTCTTACTCTTCTCTTACAGCAAAGTAATTCCTAGAAGATGATACAGTATCTGCAAGAGAAACAAAACAAAACCTAAATTGATCACATCCTTTGCCAAGCCCCTCTCCCCCACCAATAAAGATGATGAATGAAGAGGAACTGAAAAATAATGTTAAAGTAAATTCAGTAGAAAACAGAAAAACAGAAAAATGAGTTCAGTGATGACAAATGTAAACAATGTGAATATAGCTGCAAAATAAATTCACTCATTATAAACTTACCACAAAAGGGCTCCTCCTAATGACTTCTGAGTGGTTCACTGGGAGAAGTGGACCTCTGCTTAGGCGCCTCCATTGTTTTTCTTCTGCTGCACCCTCTGCTCTCGATAACTGCAGCTCATGTATGCACATGGAATGACCCCATTTACAAGAGTAAATGCCCAGTTGTGGTTTTGGTTGTTAAATGATCATCTGCAGTTTTGCAGAAAGAAACTGTCAGGCCATTAGGAATCTTTGCTAAGAAAGCAGTGCATGATCAGGCTCAAAGTTTCACTAATGAGTCCATTCCTATTGCTACATATGCTAATAAGCGCAAACAAAACCCTCTAGCTAAACATCTCCAAACTTTAAACTTAAGCAAGCCCATGTTACAAAGTCTCTTATATCCCCCAAACAGTTTCAAGATCAATTCTTGGGCATTGTTCCAGGTTACACAGCTGGCTTGGTGTTTAAATTATTTGTTAAACCGTTGTCAAACTATTGAGTTAAGGCTGTAAGTATGTATAAGAAATTTAGGGTTAAAAATACAGGGATGTCATAATTATGCCCAAAATAAGCATTACAAACCCGGGATATTCAGAGTTAACCTTAAGTTTAACATGTCGGGTTTTACTTTTAAGATATGGAAACACAGAGTTTGGATATCTAACCAACCATAACTCTGCCATGTAGTGGGAATGGCCGGGGGGAGGGATGTTTAAAAAAAATCAAATGTATACTCTGAATGAATCAGTTTACTCTGATCTGGGTCTATTAATTGTACAGTTATTGCATGATGTTGTTACAAGGAAAAGTTACAGTTGTTAAAGATGTTACCCCAATATAAGGGATTTTTTTTAAAAAAGGGGGGATAGCAATTCATACTGCAGGATACATGACAACCACTAATCATCTTGGGTTAGGGAAAAACAATAGGTACATTAGTCTACAATTGTCCAGCTATTACAAAAGATTTCACACATGTATATTTCTATAGTTCAGAAAGGCCTGTGGTCCTCCAGAACAAGGGAGAATCAGGACTCTCAGTCTACAGCAGATGATTTTTATCCTTTAGAATTTTCATATCATGTTTTATAATAGGAAAAGGCTGGATCTATGGAGGAGCTTAAGAGAGTTAGGCACATACAGGGAGTTGTTCATCTGCCTCCTTGAGGCTGCTTTGAAAATACTATCCACAATATTCAGAGTATACTTGCAACAATGCTTTCTGAGTACACACGTCCATGTATAAATAACATTAAAAGCAATTTTTGGTCTTGTACATAACAAGCCCAAGTAAATTGTTTAGAAAGTGTATTAAACTGATATTTGCAAATGAAGATTGAGGTTTAGTAATCTATAAATAAACTGTCATATTAAAAACTATTTAGAGACTGGTGAAAACTAGTAGTAAGTTGGTTAAACACTGCTCTTCAAGACAGAACCTTCTCCTCCAATGGCTCAAGGGAAAGCATCTTTGAAATGAAGAAGTTTCTCAAAGTGAACTGTCACAAGTATAATTGACTAGTTCTATTTTTTTCCAAAAACTAATAAGCTATATTTATTATTCATATTGTAATAATGAATAATTGTCAATTTTCCCTGTTTTTTTCACAAATATAGTTCACAATTGAACTATACTACTAAGTTCAAATAAAAATGACACCCATCCATTTTGTATATTAACTCTCTTCAAAGAAGTTGGAGTGTACAATCTTACCAGTCAAAGGGAGGGAACCTGGAGAATCCTTATTTGCCTAGGTAAGCCGGGGGCGGGGGGAAAGGAAAACCCTAAAGATAGCAATATAAATTGAGAAAGTGAATTAAATAAGGAACAAATATTATTTCCGCATAAGCCAATACCACAAAGGAAGATTTAAACATGCTCTTCCCTTTTTGAGTTTAATCAGAAACATAGTAAGTTGTCCGATACTATGTTAAAATCAGCAGGTACCCAGCTGTTTGACTGTTCTAACTTCAGAAGAAGGGATTTGTCTACCTCCACAACAGATAGGCATTTTCACATTATCTTATGGTAATAAGTAAGGCCCTACTTGAATTGTGGGATGACTGTCAAAAAATTACGTCTGAGTTATGGACAAGTCATGGAAAATTGTGGAAAAGTAATAGTGGACCTTATTATTTGCAGTTATAAAATCCATTATTACTTGTCCATGATTTTCCACTGTTGGTCGCCCGAGGCTGACAGCGAGGGCTCCCACTGTCAACCCCGCTGCACAGTGGGGGTCCCACTGTCAAAATAACAGTGGAATCTGAATATGGTAGAATCCGCAATTTCTACAATATCAGAAGTAAAGTAGGGCCTTAGTAATAAATATATTACAGAAATAGGGATACCTTAGCATAAAAACTTGCTAGACAACAGATAGGTTGATCTTGAAGCATCCTGAGACTATGACAGTAAAAAACTGGGCATATTTGGTTTTGAGAAAAGAAGACTGATGTGGGACCTGATAATCTTCAAATATGCTATGGGCTGTTATAAAGAGGATGGTAATCAATTTTTCTCCATGTCCACTAAACGTAGCAATGGGCCTACTCTGCAGCAAGGGACATTTTAGGTCAGATATGAGGAAAAAATTTCTAACTATAAAAGTAGGTAAGCTCTGGACTAGACCTGCAAGGGAGGTTGTGGAACCCCCATCACTGGAAGTTTTTAAGAATGGGTTGGACAAATACCTCTCAGGGATAGTCTAGGTTTACTTGGTCCTGCCTCAGCACAGGGCGGGCTGAACTTTACTGTGAAGGCCCTTCCAGCCCTACATTTCTACAATTCCCACAAACAATGGAACTCTTACAGGCTGTTTGAGAGCCAGGAAGTTTCCCCAGTGTGGTTACCGAGGTAAACCCTGGACTATTTGGTAATGTCTGGCTACTTTAGCACCACTCTGGAGACTAAAGGTTTAGTGGTACAATGAACTGTCTCCCTTTTTTCTGCAAACTCCCTAAGGAGTGCTCTTCCTCATATCTTAAGAAATTAAGTTTTCTTAGTTCCTGATAATTCTGCTTTGCATAACTTCATGTCTATTGTTCCACCAAATTCTAGCTTTTTCTGATTGTTCTCATTGACAGAAGTACATGTAAAGATAATGTTTTCAGGTGGAAAGCCACAGTGTGATTGAAAGTGAATTATGCATGACTAAGCCTGTACTCCTGCCATCTTATTTCTCTCATGTTAGGATAATGAGAAATTTCTAATAAATAGCATGGAGAAGGTGAGGAGAATGAGTTATTTGTATTATTTTTATGAATATCATATGCACCTCAGTTTACCTTCTTGATATTATCCTACCTGACTGCACAGAGCTAAATTCAAGGAGCCTATTGGAGGAAACAGACACGCATGGAAACAATGATAACAATAAGGTACCACCAGAGAGAATACCAAGGGTCATTAAGGAAAACAACAAGGGAGTCATTAATAGAGAAATGCCCCGCTCCTGGCCTAGCTCCAACCAGGCTAGCAGGTTAATTTTCCCTCAGCCCAAGCATAAGATCAAAGGGATGAAAAGGTGAGCAGGGCAGCAGTAGTTGGAGATGAGTCTCTGGCAGAAAGACTCAGAGACTGCTGCAAGGACTGTAGGAGTAGGGATGATTGGACTGAGTGAAATTTACCAAAAACTTCAAGGAAAGAATAAAACTCAAGTGAGATCCTTAACCCTTTTCTCTACTTATGTACCTTTGGATGAATAAATATTTTGTTTGGAAGAAGCTATTTTTGAGTCACTTTGATCAGCCACTGGTCACAGGCTTTCAAAAGGAAGAGTTTTCAGGTGCCAAACAAAGTTGGAGATGTCCTATTAACACAGTTGGTAAATGGGGGTGGGCCTACAGCCCAAAGATCCTGTCTAAGAGCAGTAGGACCACATGGATCCATCCAGAAAAAGGGAAGGTAGCAACACCAGTCACCAGAGAAGTGTACTTGACAGGGACTAAAAGTGGGTCTGAATCACAGGATGCCCTTTAACAATGACACCAGGTATTTTGTTGGGCTGACAAGTGATTTAAAAAATTGCAATTAATTGCGCTGTTAAAAATTAACAGAATACTATTGGTCACGGAGTGTGCGGGACTCAGGGCCCTACACCCCCACTTCCTGTGATTCACCATGACTCTCAGGGCCCTACACCCCCACTTCCTGTGATTCACCATGACTCTCAGGGACTAAAAGTGGGTCTGAATCACAGGATGCCCTTTAACAATGACACCAGGTATTTTGTTGGGCTGACAAGTGATTTAAAAAATTGCAATTAATTGCGCTGTTAAAAATTAACAGAATACTATTGGTCACGGAGTGTGCGGGACTCAGGGCCCTACACCCCCACTTCCTGTGATTCACCATGACTCTCAGCCAGCCAGTAAAATGGAAGGTTTATTGGACGACAGGAACACAGTCCCAGACAGAGCTTGTTGGTACAACCAGGACTCCTCAGTCAAGTCCTTCTGGGGGGCAGGGAGCTTAGATCCCAGCCCTGGGGCTCCCTCCATTTCCCCAGCCAGCTCGAAACTGATACCCCGTCCAGCCGTCTCACCCCGCCTCCCCCTGGTTCCTCCTCCAGCCTTTGTCCAGTTTCCCGGGCAGACAGTGTTACCTGGCCCCAACCCCCGACCTGGGCTCTCATGTTACATCCCTCAAGGAAAGTCTCCCATCCCCAATGCAGACAGTCCAAGTAAAACTCACCTGCAACATTCCCAGGTCAATACTCCCCCTTCCTGCTGCGTCACACTATTTATATAAATATTTTTGATGTTTTCCACATTTTCAAATATTGTTTTAAATTACCACACAGAATACAAACTGTACAGTGCTCACTTTATATTTTATTATAAATATTTGCACTGTAAAAATAGTATTTTTCAATTCACTTAATACAAATACTGTAGCACAATCTCTTTATCATGAAAGTTGAACTTACAAATGTAGAATTATATACAAAAAATAACTACATTCAAAAATAAAACAATGTAAAACTTTAGACGCTACTTCTTGTCCACTCAGTCCTACTTCTTGTTCAGCCAATCGGTCAAAAGTTTGTTTACATTTTCAAGAGATAATGCTGCCCGCTTCTTGTTTATAATGTCACCTGAAAGTGAGAACAGGCATTCGCATGGGATATCTTGCAACGCCAGCTACAACAGTCCCATGCGAACGCCTGTTCTCACTT